ACATTTGTCTCATTTTTGGTATTATTAGTTATGGCGCTACATCTAAGTTTTGTCCTATCTATAAGTTCTTTTCAAATGACTGACAAAAAAGAGAGCAAGAAAAAGTTGGATATAATTGAGTTTTGGACCTACACTCTCATAAAAAAGAGTCACAAAAAAGGAAGCTACGTGTTTTTTTTTCAGGAAACCCTAATTAGGTCTTCAGGAAACTTGAACATACTGAAATTTGAAAAAAAACGAAGGTACTCACGTCGGTTTGAAATCCCTTCCCTGCATTGTTCTGCTCACAATTGCAGCTAATTTCGTGATTTCTTCTTTTGAATTGGCAATCAGCTGACCGGCTAGAAATGCATGCATTGCTTCTTCCAGGAGAGTAGACCATGCAAAACTGTTGTTGTCCACTTTCTGAAATTTGAATCTCTTTTTTCTCAAAAATCTATGTATTACTAAAGGTTTTGAAAAAGAAACCAAAATTTCTGGTTTTTTGGTTCGAAAAATGTATAAATAGGATATTTTTAGCAATTGATGAATAAGTTTCTTTGATTTTCTGCCTTTTTAATTCATCCTTATATTTTTCTTATCCCGATACGAGGGATGAGCAGAATACCCTTATTCCTTCTTCCGTCTTCCTAATTTTTCTATTTTCCAGATAGTTCGAACAGAGATGATCTTAAAATTTAAAAAGTATTTTCTAAATCTAATCTATCAATTAAAAAGTCGTTTAATCAAGCCTGAATTCCTTTTTTATGGGATTTTCAAAAATATTTTCAGGAAAAAATTGGATTTTTTTTCAAAAATTTGTTCCGTCTACCGGATTGCTCATTTTCATTCTATCTTTCTTGTTCCCTCTTCCGGATTTCTAGATTTCTCATTCCAATCTCCTCCCGATACCCTTCTTATAAAATATTTGTTTCAATTTTCTCAATTTTTGTCTATTTTATATATCAAACCCTCTTAAAAGTCACTCTTAAACTTGCAATGAAATTCGTTTCTCTCTGAATAAATTAAAAATAATTCCAGATGAATCTCTGTCAACGCCTTCTTCTTCGATTACTCATCGCAATTTCCGTCATCTCGATCGGTAAGTAAAAGTGCTCTACAGGTGTGAATGAATCCACACACACACACACCCAGCTGTGTTTGAGAAAATACCTCATTTTTCGTATCCATTTTTCGTTTTTTCTTTCGAAATAGAAACGGAAAACTTTTTTACGACGAGATTCCCGTCCGTTTACGATTTCTTTTTTTCTACAGCCGTCCAATCTCTCGAATGTATCCAATGTGCTCCAAACAGCGCCTGGTATTCGGAACAAGAAGAAGAGAGGTAAGATTCCAACTGAGACTACGATGATGGGATGATCAAGCGAAATCGGCCACTTTCTGTCTGAATGTTTAGACTGTAGACTTCCAAATCTGATCATTTTCCAGGAGAATCGAAGCGTGTCGCCAAGGGTTAGTTGCCCCAACAGAATGTTCCAACGCTTCTCACACTCACTGCATTGTCAACTGGTATCGAACAGGCGGAAGTTCCGGTAATTGTGTTTTTCCGCTTCTTTTTTCCCTCATCTAATTATAATGATGCCGCCAACACCTCTTCTCTCTCTAATGCTAATTAGTGAAAGAGAAAGATCTGAATGAGGAGACAATACTGTGTTTTCGGTCTCACTCTCTTCCTAGAACTTTCCATTGTTTACAGAGAAAATGGTGATGAAAAGACATTGTGGTGTTGAATCTGATGTGACGGGATGCACTCTCTACAATTCGAAAATCAGTAGAAAAGTAAAGATATCGATTTTAAGAATTATATGAGGTTTTATATTTTCTAGGTCCGCAGACATTTGCTCAGCCGTGATGACTCACACGATCGCAGAGAATCCGCTTCTTCATTCGTTGAGGTGGATAGCTTTCTGGCTCTTTTTTAATGCTAACTAATCATTTTTCAGGTCTGTTCTACATCATGCCCAACTGGAGACTGCGTCAACTCTTCCAACCTCCGTGGAGCCCTCCTCCCAATCGTCTTCTCACTCATTTACATTATCTACAGTAACCTCAATTAATATCCCTCCTAATTTTATTGTAGTCCTATCAAAATTGTTTTCCATTTGTATCAAAACTTTGTTCAATCCAATACCTTCTTACGGTGTTTTTCCCCAAAATCTTCCTCAGCCGGTTTCCAATCTTTCTTTCACTAAATGTTTACTTCCATTTTCATTTGCTCATTCTCATTTTCCACTTTTTTTTTTGAATTCTCGAAATTGATAACAAATAAAACTTACAGTATTCTTTTCCATTATTGCTGTTGCATACGCATTCCTTTTCAATTTCAGACGAGGAGTTTCAGACGGAACATCACCATGAACAAGCTTGCGAATCATTGAATTCCACTTGTCAACTTCCAGTTTATCATCGACCAGAGAGTCAGCTTTCAGTTGGAGAGCTGAAAAAAACTTTTTTAAAAAACATTTTTTCAATGATGAACAAAA